CTCGGCAAAAATTTCACAGAGTTGTCTGTGTCGAGAAAAACCGGTTTGAAATGTTCAAGCTTTAGTCTAATTTGGAGCGAGTAAAGCAAGCGAGCAGGCTTATTGTAGAAAAATAAGCCCTAGAATTTCAATTGAGCTCCAGTAAGAGTAGTTTTTAAATTTTTTTTAGCGCCATCTTTGGAATAAAAAACATTGCAAAACTGATTTTTTTTTTGTTTTTTGTCATCTCTGAATGAACCCTTGCCTGATTTTGCTTTTTTTGCTCTGACTGTCGAATATGCACTAAATTTTGGGTTTTCGCACGATCTTTTTATCTTACGAATCGCAAAAAAACAACACAAAATGAAGAAAAATAATATGAAAAGCGTTTTATGTGTTAGTTAAGAGTATGATCAGAACGTGCTGTGCCACTTGCACAGCCACCAGACATCTTTAGTCTTTCGACTATTTAAAAAAAGGAAGGAATTTTGTGTTTGGATGTGCTTTACTTTTTTCCACGCAAAATGAGCTACTTCAAATAATCATATGAGAGTTGAGTGATGTATCATTATAAAGCCTTTTCAACCGTGATTCGTCTCAAAAATTTCTCCCAGTGCCGAGAAAAACCGGCGCAAATTTTTTGATTTTTTGTCTCATTTCGAGCGAGTAAAGCGAGCGAGCACGCTTATGCATGCTTAGCTTAGGCCGGTTACAGTAGCTCATTTATGCTTATTTTTATATTTACTCGAAGAAAAATAGTGTTTGAAAACTATTAATGCCAATTTGTGAATAAAAAAACTCAAAAAATAAACAAAATTTGTGCATAAAAATTTGAAAAAGAAATTACATTTTTTTTGTAGTTTTTTTGTTTTATTATTCATTTTTTTCTTCAAAAACTGTTATCTTGTTTGCACATAATCTACGTATCTCGAATATGATTAAAAGGGGCGGTATTAGCAGGGGGGTCAAAGGGGTGGCGGACGCCTCCTCCCCCTTCCCCCAAGACACGCCCTCAGGGGTTCGACACCCTGCCGACCCAAATGGTCTGCCCTTTGGTATTTTTATGAAAACCATTTTTGGCCAACCGATCCTACAGTTTTCTGGAGACGCCTTTGGCTCCAATGTATTCTATTTTTGAGGGGACGCCTCGAAAAGACGCCCCAAAAAAACGTGGTTTCTGAGTCAAAAATTTCCAAAATTGCCTAAAACACCTTTCCTGTTTTTTCAAAAATTTGCCTGCGGTCATTACAGTGCTATAGGAGTGCTCGGAAACTGAATTTGGTCGTAAAAGGCGTCGTAAAAATTTTCAGAATATCCTAGATCCAGCCCTGTGCCTAAATGATAGTTTTACGTCAGATCCTTTGATCACATCACGCAAGAAAAATTACACTAATTTGAAGAAAAAAAAAGTTTTTTTTTCTTGTAGCTATTTGAAGACTATGCTGAGTTCAATCCAGAGGCTGATGATTCGAGGAAGAGCGTAGATCGTCCTTTGTTTGGATGGGAAAGATATGTAGCAAAACTCGTCAGAGAAACAATGTAAAGCTTCACTCGGGGATTTATAACTGGGAGTTTTGCTGAAGAGCTGAACTTTAACCGTGTGCTGCTTTACGTCGTGAATAAATGGTTTTATGGTTTTTGTCTATATAGTTTTTGTGTATATATGCAAAAAAAAATAAACTAAAACAACATGAAGTATTCATAAATATCTATGATGAAAGCATAATTACCGCTATATTCGCTAGCTTAGATTTATCAATTATAATATGCAGCTTTGAAAAATTGGAATAATAGTATTTTGACTGCAGTTACAACCCAGTCCGAGTTCAAGCAAACGATACGCTCTTCTCATTTTCACCACCACTTCTCATCGGCGAAAGTTGGTTTCGGTTGTCGGTTTTGTTCGTTGAGACTAATTTAGGACTCAACTTGTTTTTATCATTGCAGCATGTGACATCATTCTTGTCAGCAGTTATGTTCAAAGTATTGTTGTTGTTATTGCTTTTGCTGTTCATATTGTCGTTGATGTTGGTGTTGCCCGGAATGTCGACTGGAGCTTGTCTCTCTGGATGGTTAGTGTTGCTGTTCGAGGGGGATTTGCGGAGCAAGGGAAGCTGTTTCAGTTCCTCTTTACCCCTCGACACCCTGGACACAATGGGCTCTCGGATGGGTCTGGTTAGCATAATATATATACATGGGTTGACAGCAGAGTACAGACTGATGAACACGATTGAGAAGCCGTAGATGTAGAATAGAATGGGAACATGAGTCATGAGTGAGACCCAGGAGGACTCATGAGCAATGATCCAAACTGAGTTCCACATAAGAGGAGCCCACAGGACGGCAAAAGTGATCGTCGAGACTCCAAGGAGCTTGCTGAAATAAATATGATTCTAAGAAAAAAAAAGGTTTTTTTTGCCATTTAAAAACTCCAGTTAAAGCTTAGGAAATTGAAGTTGATATTAAAGTCACGCCTTACATCTCCAAAAATTTCATTGGAAACGGACAATGAATGTTTCCATGAAAAATTTTATATCACTTTTTTTCGAAGTTAATAGTGGCCAGAAAAAGTTTCAGGCGTTTAAACCAAAAAACCTAAAATTAATGTTATAAACCTGTTTGGTTGGTTAATTAGTTTGATACAGTAAGCAATGAGTAAGTGAGAAGAATAAGCGCCCTAAATTTTTTTTAATGGTCAGCCAATGTTGGATATCTTATAAAAGTATCAAAATCTGGATGGCAAGGGGTAAAGTCGTCGGGTTCCTGTGAGCTAATAAATCCATGAGTAAGTGTCTCAAATCACGAACTGACCAGGGCTGACGTGTTTTACACATGGTTCGACAGACACTTTTAAACAAGATTAGCTTCCAAGTTTTTGAGTCGAAACATGTTTGTTTTCGACTTCGTTAGATTTTGATTTTATTCACTTATTGCGACTTTACTGGACATTGATCAATTTTCCATGACTTAGTTTGGCTTTGTTCCGTTTGATCGGACATTGTTTATCTTGGCCAGCGAGTAACTTGGTAAGTTAGAATACCTGATACGTTTGTTGGCGTTGTAGTTTCTCTGGCTGGGTGAGTTCATGAGTCTGAATGCAATGGTAGGGTAGAGTGTAGTCATGAATAGTAGGGGGATGCAGTAGAAGATGAGGAAGAACATGAGACCAGTCACTGTCACACTCACCAGTCGGAATGTCATGATGCACTCTTGTCCCTCCGAGTAGGAGCCCGCAATCAACCATACTGTATAGATCCCAGATGTGCCTGGAGTTATAATTCAAATTGTTTACTACCAAATTGATAGGTTGACCAATTGATTTTCCGAGCTCTCCCAGCTCAAAAACCCTAGTACAAGGACCCTATACAAGGACCCTATTTTGAGAAAAAAAATTTGCACTGCAGTCAAATTTTTTACAAAACAGGCAAGAACAAGCATTTGTAGGCACTTTTTTGGTGGAAAAATTTGACCAAAAAATTGCGCTTTTTTTGGCGAGCGCTCCCCCCCTCGAAACTAGTCATATTGGCGCTCAAGGCGCCTTTAAAAAATTTTGAGGTTTTTTAGCGAAAAGTGGATGCTATAAAATTATACCAAAGGGGGTACTCATTAGTAAAATTTGGCAACCCAAATTGAGGGGGCGGGGGGAGGGGCGGTTGCTATTTTCCCCTGCTCCCTCCTCCCCCCCCCCCTCGGCACGCTACTGGTACAAATCTCCAGTTCGTTTGCGAGTACTTTGAAAAACTGTCAACTTTTTCTAGGTTGTCAGTTTGATTTTCCGATATCCCCCACAACTTTACCCTATAATGACTTTATGTTGCTAATAAGCGAATTTATGATAAAAACTGGCAAAATAGACGTTTTTGAGCATTGTTTTAATTTTGAGCCTAAAATTCCTTGGTTTCGATGCGCGATCCAGCTTAAAAACAGTTTACTGTTGTCCAAAGAACCTTTAGAAAAATTTTGATATTGATCAAGCAAAATGGGTTTCTCAATAATGTACGAAAGGGGGGAAATTTAGAAAACAATTTAGAAACAAGTGGAGATCAAAGAGAAGCGGCCGCCCGCCCGCGCCTTAATTGTATCAAATTAGCAAACTGATATTTTTTAAGCCTTATTACAAAAAAAATATATTTGGATTTGCAAACAAAGATGTAAAAATTTTCTCAGGCAGTATAAAAGCTATGTGAAAAATTGGTCGTTAAAAGTCGAATTAAGACGGAGAGAAAATCACACTGAGTAAAAATAGTTCGTCATTTTTTTGGCATGATGCTATGTTGTTTTTCAGATTAACCATCTAAAAACTTAAACTACATAAGGCTAAACTATATTTTGATTGTTTGAAAACGAAGATAAAAAACGGCTTTGAAATCGATTGATCTGAGCTGTAAAAATTATTGCCATTTATATATATGGTAATGAAAACTGAAATACAGAGTGCATCTGAGTTTAACGGTGGCCAGTCAATGAGCAGATTGGTCTAATAGCAGGAAGGGTCTTAGAGCAAAAAAAAGCAAAAATAATTTATACGGGCTAAATCGTTCAAACAATTATAAGAATTGATCAATACTACCAAGGACACAGACTAATTAAAAATTACCTTATTACTTTCATCATGTTTTTTTTCTAACTGAACTTTGAAAAATTTTGATCTAATTACATTTTTCATGCATAATCTATTCGTTTCTTGACAATTCTAATACTTTTAATACTTGCTCTTGGACCCATTCTGCTCTTAGACCTTTCTGCTTATTGATCTGCCTCCAAGTTTAACTGATTCTTCCGATCAATAGCTGATTAAATTGCTGAATTTATTTTGAGAAAGGAACACAAAAAATGTCCGAAAACAAAACTAAAGTTTCTGTTTTAGGTAATAGAGCACGAAATGACATTTTTCAATCCTTATTACAAAAAAGTGATCACAAATGAGATGTTATATGAATTTTCAAAGCAGGACGTAAAAATTTCCCAGGCAGCATAAAAACTATAGTTAAAATTTGTTCGTTAAAAATCAAGTTTAGGCCGAGAAAAAATCACACTGAGTAAAAAAATTTGTTATTTTTTGGCGTGCTGCTATGTTGTTTTTCAGATAAAGCAATAAAAATTCTATAAAAGCTATATGAGACTAAAATATGTTTTGATTCTTCAAAAAACGATAACAAAAACAGCTTCAAAATCAATTGACTTGAGCCGTAAAAATTATTGCCATTTATTCAGACTTTTTCCCACGATATTTACATTAAAAACTATATATGGCAAAAAAAATAAAACACAGAGAAGAGTGCATCTGAGTTTAACGGTGGTCAGTCAATGAGCAGATTGGTCTAAGAGCAGGAAAGGTCTAAGAGCAGAAAAAGAGACAAAAAATAATTTATACGGGCTAATCGATCAAACAATAATTAGAATCAATCAATGCTACCAAGGACACGGATTAATTATACGTTACTTTAGTTATTTCATCAAGTTAATTTTCTAAATGAGATTTAGAATTTTTGACCTTATTACACTTTTCATGCATAATCAATTCGTTTGTTTGGTAAAATTGATAATACTAATACGTGTAATACTCTGCTCTTGGACCGATTCTGCTCTTAGACCATTCTGCTTATTGATCCGCCTCCGAGTTTAACTGATTCGTCTGATCAATTGCTGATTAAATTGCTAAATACATTTTTTAGAAAGTTAAAAAAAAAATGTCCGAAAACAAAACTAACGTGTTCTGTTTTATAAAACAGAGCTCAAAATTAAACGTTGAAGGTCAATTTTTGCGTTAAATAAATTCTTGTACAGATAATCTTTATACTTTAATCCCAAAAAGAGTATATAAAGTTTTGGTTGTGTTTGTTTATGTACTACACGTCAAAGCTTTTGATGAGTTCGATCATTGGTAGACAAGTTTGCCAAGGAGAAAAGTTCGTGAAATAAATATCTATTATACAGTAATTACTTAAATCCATATCTTTTTTTTGCTTGATAAAAAAGCCATTATTTTTGAATGCGGCACTCAAAAAAGGGAAAACAGTGAGTATTTGACGTCAAAAGAACCATTGTTAAAACTTTAAAAAGAATCAATTAACGCCAATTCTATTTTTCCTCAGAATTGAAAGAGGGAAACTGGAAATTGGAATTTTTTAAATTAATTTACCGTTTCAAATCGATTGATATTGAAAAACAACTCAAAAATATTGAACTCAATTTAATCGGTACGTTTGAATGGATGAAAACAAAAGAAATAGATTTGGTTGACTTATTTACCAGCGAGTAGAGAGCTGGTGGTTGAAAAGAAATCAGACAATCTTTCCGGGCTGAGCTGACCAATTTATGTATGGACCGAAGTATGGGTCGGAGGAGTGTTCACATAGCTCGATCAATATAACAATTCACATAGCTCGATCAAAATTTTTGTTCGCCCAGGTAGAAGAGGCACTGGACCAAGTTAATATCCCCCAAACCATTTTGTTAACTTGATCCAAGGATGTTAACTTGATCCGAGGCACTTATTTGGCACGTGTAAACTTTTCCCTCCCACTCCCGCATCGACCACGTGAATTTTCTTCTCCCCAACCAAATATCAGACAAATTTTTCCATTAATTGGAGAACTAGCTATGTTTGACTAAACTTTTATATCCTTCAAAAATAATTGTTTGTCCTGGCCTCAAAAATATAAAGACATTTCACCTGTGATCATTTTTCGTAAAATTATGGGGTTTATAGATTGCCAATTTAGCCAACTTGGGAAAATTAACACGCGATATATTTTACACTATCAATGAGTGAGCGGCATTAAACAGTGCTCATTTAATTATCGGGACAAATTGAAAAAAAAACTTGAAAGTTAAAAGCGTTTTTCTCAAATTGGTTTTATTTTAGACAAAATATGATGAGCACCAACCTTGATTAAAACTTTAACAAAATGAATACGGTGCAATTTGTTTTGCAAAACTTTTGCCCAAAATTTTACCCCAAAAACGATCATTTTTGGCTTTGTTTAGTCAAGCAAATATTACTCCAAACCTATTTGTTAATTTACAAACAATACTATATCGATCAAGCTTCTTGTGTAGCCCAACAAATATTAAGAAATGTAAAATCTCCTAAATTGGACGCAAAAGTTTTTTAAAAAAGTTTATATTTCAACACATTGGTGTTTTGTGTAGTAAAGTTGACATTTCTTGGCTATCAAACCAAAATAAGTATGTTTATACAAAGCTGAGAAAATTATACCCTTCTCAAATTTTGTTGCGCTACTCAAAAAACTTGCAGCTTCTAACAAAACTATATCACTGCATGCCTTCTATATAGCGCAATAAATATTAGGGGTATAATGTTTCTTGTAAAATAGTTAAAATTCATGATCAATAAAAAATAAAAAATATCTATGTTGGCTCGAATAGCAGAGCATGAATGCTTCCAATCTGTGTAGCGAACTGACTTGCCAGGAAACATGAAAAAGAAATTAGGCAAAGCGAGCCTAGAAATATCAGGCTTTTAGCTAACATCAATTTTCCACAAATTTAGACAATTTTTAATGATCGAAATTGCAGCAAACCATTTAGAAACTTCATTCCCCCACTTGCATCTATACATATGCCACACGAGTAGCATCTACTACATACTCAAGAAACTTTATTTATCTTGTTTTTCATCTAGTTTGAATCAATTAATGTGGCCTCAAAACAGTGCCATTAAAAATTAAGAGCAATGGGGCGTAGCGATAAGACTGTGGGTGGGCCAAATTCGATGCAAAATTGTTCTCATTAGGAGCTTTTTTTTTACAAAAAAGGATTTCTAAAATGTTACGCCTAAATTTCCAACATCACACAACTCGATCTTGTGAGAGAATAATAGTTGAGTATCATTTAAAACAGCTCGACAAAATGTGCATCATCTAATATAAAATTTTAGTTTTGCATGCCATTAGTAATTGATGATTTGTCGATGTTTGTGCTGTTTTTCGATAATTTTTCGACAACCCAGGATCAAAACAAAATGGCTTCCTGAGTGCTCACTTTAGTGCATACCACAAACTGGGCTTGCTTGCGTTTGTATAGCTAAATAACCATGTTATTTCCTCTAATACGATTTAATGATTATCTACTACGAATTGTCAAAAAAAATGGTCAGTAAGATCGTTCTGAGCAACAAGAAATTTTTACTTTAAATGATCAAATGTATCAAATGAGTAACCCAAGTGAATACTGCAGAGTACCCAAGAAATTGAAAAAATAAAAAATTTTAACGATATACGCAAAAGGAAAAAACCAACTTTGTTTTTGTTTACCGGAATTTGAATCTGGTTATTCCGCAAAAAAACCTAATTAACCTGGTCCTCCGACCGGACGACATTATATATGTTGTGCTTAGAAAATCATAAATTTTGTTTTTAAAATAAAACTAAAGAAAAACTTAGAAAATTTAGTGAACCAGCGTTGAATACCAAACTAATAAAGTCACTTTTAGGATAGTTTTTTTTAGCCAATTTAAATAAGAATTAAAAGTAGATTTTCGTTTTTTCAAATGTAAATTTCGTCTTACAACTTCAACTTCAGTTTCCATTTCTAACTGATTTACCCGAAAACTTATCGTAAAAAACAGCTGCTAACGAATTTGAAGTTTTAAAATTAGTTTATAGAAAAAAGATAGTTCAATTAGATTTTAAAATCGTTTGGGGTGAATCTAAGATTTTTTCGAAGGGGCGGATTTTCAAAAAAAATCAAAAAATTTGTCGACCTTTTCTTATGTCGACCAAATCAATTTTTTGGTCTCCCAGAACACTGTAAATACCATATATTGATAAAAATTTAAAAATTTCTGTGCCGAATGAAATTTCTGCCCTTCCCTTCAAATTTAGTATAATTTAGAGTTGGCCGGGCAAAAAAGGATGTCATCAAATTATACTAAAAGACAATTTGGCTTTGGTTGGCGAGGTGGTCGATTTAACGAGAGAAAGAAGCGTCCAGCCCCCTCATCCCTCTAAATCCGCCCGAATGTTACTTTGAAAAATTAAAATGTTTTTTTTCAGTCGAATTATATTTTGAAAAATTCTGAAATTTAACAGTTTATAATCCAGCGATTAAAAAACAACTCTTCTGTAATTAGGTTTAATTTTTTTCAGTTCATATTGAAAATTTACGATAAAACTTTTTCTGTAATCTTTTTAGGCTCAAAGTTTCAACAGTAGATTTTAAAATCGTTTTGTGCAGGGGTGGATCTAGGCTTTTCTCGAAGGGGCGGATTTTCAAAAACAATTCAAAAAAATTGTCGACATTTTCTTATGTCGAGCAGATCTAGTATTATGTCAGGGAGTCCATGTGTCATTATTTTTATGTGTCAGGGAGTCCATGTGTCATTAAAAATCCATGTGTCATTATTTTCGAGTCAAGAAAAATAATATTCGGAGCCCTTTACAAACCCATTTGAAGAAAAAGGTCTAAATGATGTTTAGAGCTCTCCTGTTTGAAAAAAGGCGTTTTTCGGAGCGGGTCCCCTCCGTAAGTTTAATGCATTTTGGCGCAACTCATAGTATAATGAATGTCGTCAAATGGTACTTTTTCATGAATCGAATCCTATGCGTTGACTGGGAGTCGAAACCCAGAGCAAAAATCTCGCCCGTATTTGATAGTCACTGTTCAGTTCATTTATGATACTAGATTTTTTTGTCAGTTTATCATAATTGTGTGTTGTAAAGCATGTATGGGATGATGATGTTTGGGTAAATGTCGGCGTTTTTGGAGGGAAAAGGAATATTTAAAGGATCTTTTATTAGAACACGGACTGACCCATGTTAAGGGCGAAGAATAGTTTTGTGCCCCAGTTGTCGAGCCAGATCTTGCCGTTGACAGGATGGACTACGAGGAGGAACCTCTCTATGCAGAGGAAGAGAAGGACAGGGGCTGTAGTGGTGATGGTGATGCCATTGTAGAGGGCGGTGAGGGTGCAGACGACGTCTTGAGAGTGGATCTTGAGCAGCTTCTGGTTCAGTTCCAGGTAGATCTTGAGTGGACACACAAACACACTATCAAGGATGGCCTGAAAAACAAAATAAAACTAAATGTTTATTATGATGTACTTTACGAATGGCCTTTATTGTACCGATATTTTCTTTTATACAACCTATCCCTCGTACGCAGGGGCGGATTTAGGGGGGACGCCTTCTCCTCCCTCTGGGATTCGACCCCCTGCCGACCCAAAGGGTCCGCCCTTTCGTACTTTTTAAGAAATCTTTTTTTGACCCACTGACCCTAAATTTTTTCTAAAGGCGCCTTTGGCGCCAATATATACTAACTTTGAGGGGGAGCGGTTTTTTCAAAAATTTGCCTGCAGCGCAGAAAAAATTAGCCAAAACAGCGTCTTTTTAGTGCTTTAGGAGAGCTCGGAAAATCAGTTACTCCTATAAGGAATAAAAAAATGTCATCAAAATTTTCGAAGTTTTTTTTGAAAATCCGCCCCCCCCCCCCCCTCGAGAAAATCCTAGATCCGCCCCTGTTCGTACGTACAACAATTTAACGTTTTTTGTTTTTATAATGGGATATTTTTTAACGGATATTCTTAAAAGTTGTTAATCCCGTTTGGCCCTATTTTAGATAAAATTAATATTTTTTTATGCCCCAAATACTGATTTTGCAATTGTAAATAACATAAATCTAATTTCGTATTAAAAAATTTAGTTTCATTTGTCATCATAAAGAGGTATAGGGCAAAAACAATCTGACACGGTCACAATCAAAATATCGACTCAGTAAAGATACAACAATCAAGATAAAATAACAAGGATAGCCTGTTGCGGTGAAAAGAGCATATTATGTCCCGCTTTTCTTCTTTTTTTCTTTAAGTTGTCTTTTTTGTTCGTCGTGTGACAATACAGCTACATAAACGCGAAATAATTAAGCAAATTGGGCATCAACGAATCTCATGGTCAAAACGTTTTTTTTTTTCAATTTTGTGTACTGAAATTTTTTGTTGCCAGAAAAGAGCTAAATGAAGCTTCCAAAACTAGTTTTGCTTCAAAAACTGAAAAAATTAAGGTTTTCAGCCTAAGTTTCTAATTTTCATGCGCAACAAACGTTACTCGATCTCTTTACTCGAAAAAAGGCGAAAAAAAATTCAAAAGGGTTGTGCTCTAAACTAAGAAAAATTTGTGGGAATTTTTAAAAATCATTCGAATAACATCTAGAAGAGCTTTTATACGATAAATTACTTGACACTTGATTATTTTTAATACCTGATTTTGCGCGAAAAACAAAAAAAAAATGAAAAGAACGAAAAAAAACGAAAACACATCTGAATACAAAGATTCTGCGCATTTTCAATGGTCAGAACAGCAAGACTGCTCGTCTGGTGAAAAAATTCTGAATGGTCTGACTGTTCGCTAAGTTTTAATTTAAAAAAAAAACGTTATTTTCAGTATAGTAAAAAATGTAAAAAGATGAATTTTTAAAAAAAATTCTTTTCGAGTTTTTTTTTCGTGAAAAATACTTTCACACGCTGTTTACTGGTGTTACTAGTGTCTAGCAACATTATAACAGTTCCTACCAGTTTGCCTCATTTTTCTGAGCCGGATTAAAAAGCCGCTTACGCGTTATTAGAACGAAATTTATCTCACGTTGGTAGTCCCAAGTTAGGATTCGACCCCCTCAAAAACCAAAAGGTATTAAGTTTAGTTTTAGTTTATTGTATAATTTTAGGTCGACTAACTAAAACAGTTTTAAAGGAGCCTTTGGCGCCAGTGCATGCTAATGTTGATCGGAGCGCGCGCCGAAAAAAACGCAATTGTTGGTCAACATTTTCCAAAAAGAGCCCAAAAACTGCAATTTGACCTGTTTTTTTTTCTTCAAAATTTGACTGCAGCGCTAATTTTTGGTCAAAATAGGGTCTTTATAAAGTTTTGGAGCACTCGAAAAATGAATGCAACATTTTTAACTGTTTTGAGTGGATTTTTAAATGAGCCAGTTTGATTGAAAGCATCAGTTTTTTGTAGATTCTCTCGAAATGCAAAAGTTCTATATCAGTTCCAGGAGAAAAAATTATTTTATTGAATGCTAAATTGATAGAAACTGGCTTAAAAAAGTGCGCTCAATAGTGCTATAATATCAACCACTGTCAGCAGGGGTGGATCTAGGATTTTCTCGAGGGGGGGGGGGAGTGGATTATCAAAAATTTTCGAAAATTTTGACAAGTTTTTTTTAGGTCGATCAAATTGATTTTCCGAGCTCTCCTAAAGCACTAAAAAGACTCTGTTTTGGCCAAATTTTCATTTTTGGGCACTTTTTTGGAAAACTTTGACAAAAAAATCGCGTTTTTTTTTGGCGCGCGCTCCCCTCAAAAAATAGTATATATTGGCGCCAAAGTCGCCCTTAGAAAAATTTTAGGGTCGGTTGGCCAAAATTGGATTTCTTAAAAGTACCAAAGACTAAAGACCCTTTGGGTCGGCAGGGGGTCGAATCCCTGATGAAGGAGCGTCTGCCCTTGCCCTCCCCCTAAATCCGCCCCTTACTGTCAGGGCTATGCTCTCTGATTTATAAATCAGCTTGCTAAGAAGTGGAATAAAGTAAAACAACCTCAAATCTGAAAACATATTTCACCTCCTATCAGGGGCGGATTTGGATCTAGGATAGGATTTTCTCGAGGGGGGGCGGATTTTCAAAAAATTTTCCAAAATTTTGACGACCTTTTTTTTTTTTTTAGGTCGACCAAATTGATTTTTATTTTTCGGGCTCTCCCAAAGCACTGTTTTGCCCCTATTTTGGCTAAATTTTCTGCGCCGCAGGCACATTTTTGAAAAAACAGTCAAAAAAGCCGTTTTTTGGGCACTTTTTGAAAAATTTTGACAAAAAAAATGCGTTTTTTTGGCGCGCGCTCCCCCTCAAAAATAGCATATATTGGCGCCGAAGGCGCCTTTAGAAAAATTTTAGGGTCGGTCGGCCAAAAATGGATTTCTGAAAAAGTATCAAAGGGGGGACCCTTTGGGTCGGCAGGGGGTCAAATCCCTGAAGAAGGGGCGTCTGCCCCCCCCCCCCCCTAAATCCGCCTCTGCCTCCTATATATCTTTTTAACAGCTGAAGCGGTTTGAAGTTTCTGTTTTGGCAAACTTGGGATTTTTCAATGGATGCAAAAATTTTTAAACCCGCAGCCCGCAAATTTTGTTATCCAAATTGCAAGATTAGATATATTGAAGATAAATGGGAAACGTCAATATTTCGCCTGCAGTCTTGCTAAATAGTATAGTCAAAAGTGATTCAAAAAGACGTAAAAGACGAATTTAAAAGTTTACCTAAAATTAGCCATTTAGATTTCATGAATCAAATCGTATCAAAAAGCGTGAAAGAATGTTTAATCAATTTAATGATGCTACCTAGAATGCGCAGCTCATCATTCGAATGAAAAGTAAGGCAACGTATTATTCCTTATTTTTTGCAGAGTGAAACTCTTATCAAAACGTTAGAGAAATAAATAAACTATCAGTTAATTTCATATCTGTTTGATTTGATGTTTCAGATGTTTTTAGTTGTTGTTAGTTTTCAATATTTGGCAGTTTAAACAGTTGAGAAAAACAAAACTTCTTTTATATGGAACAATGATTTTTTTTTAATTTTGAGCTATTTTGTACCGCACAAAAATCAAGCCATACTGTGGCGACAAAATGTTGTTGCCTTAGCGTGGAAAGATTAGAGAAAATGCTTTTACAAAGCTAATATTAGCGGCAGTTATCTTAAAAAAAAGATGAAAAGTGGTGCATAGAATGTTTAAAAGAAAAGTACAAACGTTTCAGTAATTTGTAGCAAAAATTTAGTTATAGTTAAGTGCACGACAAAGTAGCTTATTTTGAATTCATCTCTTAAATTTTTCTCATCTTGAAAGTAATTTTTAAAAGGTTTAAAAACATTGGGCTCCTCTTTTGCAATCAATTTAAAATTCTATAAATAAACAAAAACTCCGAACTCCTTGACCTGATCTGTATCAAGTGATTCAGCCTGCTTCTTCCCTCCAACTTTAAAACTATAACACTTTCGCTTTGAAAATACTTTGATTTAAAAATACCTCCAAATTGCGTATTTTTTTCAGACGTTAAGCTTACTCTAATTTGAGACGGATTTTGTCGGCGTAGTTGTTAATTTTAAAAAATTAAAAACCGATTTCTGTGAAAATTGACCAGAATTTTGTGCCCACTGTTATCATTATTAAAAATATCTTGATCCTAAAAAAATAATGATACTTCGCTCAGTTTGATAATTTAACTTTTCCTTTTTTACGATTGAAATATTGACCCAAAGATTGTAAAATTATTTTAGATTACATTACTGGATCATCTACATATCGAAACAACGGGAAAAAGTTGCGTCCTGTGAAAGAGGACTAAATTGCATCTGCTTTTCGATACGTTTAGACGGAACAGCCGAAAAGAACATTCCGATCAGTTTTTGTCACAACTATGAGAGTTTTCTGGAATTCTTATGTTGAGACTCATATCTTTTTACATGATACTGCACGTGACCCTCTGCAAGCTTCCCTCAGTGACAAAAACGGATAAAAATCGATTATCTACAGAAAAATATGCAGATTTTAGATTTGTTGTAATTTTATACAGTGAAACTTCGATTATGTAGTTTTAATAATCGATTATAATGCATTTTATTTTGCAAAACGTTCATGCTGTATATCTTCATTAAACAATCAGTACCAAAACCTTCTAACACTGTTTTTTCTGTATAAAATTTCCTCTATACTGTATACATATTGTATACAGATTATTTAGATATTATCTACACATTATCTACACATTAGCTACAGATTATATACCGATTTTATACAGATTATATACAGACTATATACAGATTATATACATATTTTATTCAGACTATATACAAATTATATACTGATTTTCTCAGCACTACCGCCAATCAGATGATATGATTGTTTTGAAATTAAACTATAATGCAGGCTTTTCAATGAAATTTTCTCTCTGACGTTTGATTTGAAAACGCATTTGAATCAATTTCGTTCGGAATGGGTTGCTGCAAAAACTAATTGCTCTATGTTAAGTTTTCTAATTTTTTAGTTTTGTTTTTTTTTCTAGCAAAATTGGGCTGAGAAAGTTAAGACGTTTAAGTGGCAGTTGACGAATTTTTGCACAAATTTTTTTTTATTACCACGGGAACCCTTAGATTGCAAAATCTTTGATGAATCTCTTCAGCCTTGAAATTTGCGGTGAACAGTTTTCCTCAAGTGAGTTCAGCTCAATGTTATATTGAGAAAAGTTTTCCTGATAACAAAATTTTTGTTAAATTTGTGAAAAAATCATTAATTTAAATAATGAATGACCAAAACTGAAATTGTTACGACCCTTATGGTTTTCAGGCAAATTAATCATTTTTATACAGATTGTATACAGATTATATACAGATTATATACAGATTATATACAGATTATATACAGATTATCTACAGAGTTTTTATACACAGTTTTTATAGAATAGACGAATCGATTGTTTTTTTACTAAAATCCATTTATTATTAGTTTAAAAAAAATAGATTCCATCTGTATAGAAACGATTATTGTTCGCAAAATTGTTGTAGATAAATCGATTCTATACTTAAAATAATCTGTAAACTTTTATTTATATAATCGATTTTTATCCATTTTTGTCCATGCGGGTTTGTTTGAGTTGCTTTGTATCGCGTGGAATAAAAATTGTATGAAAATTTTCAAGGAGAAAATTACCCGACTGAATGTGCAAAACAAAAGAGTAAAGCTTAAAAAATGACTGAAAAACGCACTTCTGGAGCTTAACATTGAACCAATACTCTATAGATATAGGAATTTAATTTTATAAAAAACTTCAGTACACGGTAAGGAGCAAGTGCAACAGTACCGGAAATAAAAAATTTTCAACAGTTCCGAAACTTATGTGCATTGATATACATTTCTTACACATCGAAAATAAATAAAAAGTTTACTGATAAGGGAAGGGGAAGGATGACTGGTTGACTTTTTAGACATTCAGGTCAGTTGCAGAATGCAGAGAAGGACGAGCAACTCTGCCAGATATATGACTAGAAGGGGTGTCATTTCCATTTTTGTCATTGCGGGTTTGTTTGAGTTACTTTGTATCGCGTGGAGTGAGAATTGTTTGAAAACTTTTAACAGGAAAATTACCCGACTGAACGTGCAAAACAATAGAATTAAGCTTAAAAAATGACTTGAAAAACGCACTTCTGGAGCTTACAATTGAACCAATACTCTATAGATATAGGATTTTAATTTAATAGAAAACTTCAGTACACGTTAAGAAGCCAGTGCAACAGTACCGGAGATAAAAAACTTTTCAACAGTTCCGAAAGTTATGTGCATTGATATACATTTCTTACACGTCGCAAATAAGTTTAAAAATAACTGGTAAGTTAAGGGGGGAGGAGGAATGGTTGACTTTTTAGACATTCAGGTCAGTTGCAGAATACAGAGAAGGACGAGCAACTCTGCCAGATATATGACTAGAAGGGGTGTCATATCCAGACCCAAGGCCCCAGGGCGTAAATGGGAACAATACAAGAAAATGATTGCAAAAAAAACAATGAACCTGATAAGCGACCATGATGTAAGTGAATTTGTGGAGGCTGTTGTCACGGACGACTAGTCTGGCGATGTAGAGGTTGATGAGCATGCTGAACAGGGCGAGGAGGGGGTTGATGACAGACTGCACATTCTCTATCACCCCCATCTCCTCACTGTACAGGGCAAACAGAGCCCCAAGGTCCCCCACTGAGTCTAAACGGGCAAAAATAATCGACTGCACTTCAAAAAATTAAATCAAGAATGTCCAAAATATTCGTTTTTTAAAAACAATTGTTTTCTTTACTGCTCCGTTCCCTCAATTTTGACTGCCAATTTTTCACAGGGCCAGTCCTTACCTCTATAAAAGCATTTTAAGACATCCATCTTTGGTCGACCAACCCTAACGTTTTTCCAAGATACCCCAAATATTTTAGGCTTGAAGGCGCGCTAAAATTGCAACTGTGTGGTTCAAATCTTCACACAGAACCCTTCATCTGTTCTGGTTCAATTTTGCACTACTAGCATATTTAGATTGAGCGATCAGAAAATTTTTTTAAATCGTTTTCCAGGTAAGATATGCTTATAGTTCGGTTAGAGGAGGATATAGGGGGGGGGGGGGGGAGGGGGGAGTTGATGAGAGGGAATGTAGGGTGACGGCCGTCTTTTTCCCCCTCCCTCAATTTTTCGACAACTTCGCCGCCCTTGGCTGTTTTTACGACGCTTGCTTTTGGCCAATTAATACTAGGCCAACCAGTTTTCTAAGGGCGCATTTGGAACAAATTATGCTAATTTGAGAAGTCAGAAAAATTCTCAATAACCGCATTTTTTTTCAATTGGCCAGGAGCGCAAATTTTTTTGTCGCAATAGGGCCTCCTCTTACTAAGGCAAATCCTACTTAGAGAAACTAAGAGAACTCACCTATTAGACCGTCTGAACTGTTACCGTCAACGTGATTTGATTCGTTCAAACCGGTTCTCATCAAGTCAGCCATTTCGGACACAGGAATCTAAATTATGAAAAAGGTCAAAACGGAAACCAAAACAAGAAAAACCTAAAAGTCACATTGATGTTTAATTTTTTATACTTGAAAACTCAACAAACAATAACGCCATAGTTGGAAACAAAAATAGTGACTTATATCATCTAAGCCAAAAATACGATCAATGTTAAGTTTTTTCTACAAGTCACGAGTCAAAAACGCAACGCGTGAGGTGGCACTGAAAACCAAATCTGTCGAGCCAAAAATATGATCTCAATGTTTCGTTTTTTTTTTATTCCGGCGACCCTCTGCGAATCGTAAGATCGCACTTTGAATTAGAAAAAGAAATCTTCTTGTTGCACATAATTTGTACCGTACCTTGATGTTAACAAGCTGTTGTAAACTTTGAGTTTCAGTCAGGAAGGATTGACTGAAATAAGTAAAAATTTTAAATTTAACAGACAGCAAAAAATATGTCTTCTTTTCAACTGAGGCTGAAAAAAAAAGACAGCAAACGCAAGGAAAAGAGACAGTAATTTACTTTACTTCGAAGGGAAAACTCGAATGAAATTTATTAAGTAAAAGCTTATTCTAATTGGCCAGACGCAGAAGGGTTGAAAAAAGGAAACAGCGAATTGGAATCACCAAAATTTCTTCTTTTTTATTAACTTTTTAAGATATAAATAATCTAAACAAATCAGCAGGTCTGCTGGTATATTTAACATTAATGGCTGAAAACTAAAAACGAAAGACCAATTTTTGACAAATCACCTATTGTACTTAAATTTCATATCAAATGACCCCTTTCAATAAGCCCGCGATTCAGGTGGTTTAGTACGGTTAAATCCGTGGATAAATAAATTGAAAACTTCATCTTAATTACGGTTTATTGTACGTAAATTTGGTTGCGTAGCATAAAACCTCTCATTCTGAGCCTTCTGCCTAAAAAAGCTTTTCCCCAAAAGCTGCAAAACTCAAGAAATTCAGAACCAGAATCGTTCTTTGATGTTTTGGGAAAAAAATATGTGCGACTTTTGATTTGTCCTTTTTCGTGTGTATACATGCGCATAATCTTCTATGGTGGTCAACTCTATATTCATAAGTCTTTACTACTGAATGATCTTCTTTCAATCAGTAAAAGTATCGAAATTAAGGAGAAAGTACGCGTAGGTAAACTTTCTAGGGGGGGGGGGGGGGGGGGGGTGGAATTCTTAACGATTAGCTTGCACAATGCCATTAAAAGAGTAGGACATGGTATTACATGAATAGCGGAAATTTGCTTAAGTTGAATGCCTGCTTCGCTTCACTGCACTCACTGAGGTACGAATGAAAAAACTCACGTGGATCGTAGTGGGCCGATAATCAACTTTTCCTTATTAAATTTTAGTTACATGGGATAGGCAGGAAATTATAATTGGGTCACGCTAAGCTAATTGGTCACATTTTACAAAACTTCGATTATGAGGTCGACATTGCTAAGTTACATTTCACTGCTACAAAACTAGATAAAAACGCAATTTTCATCGCCTCTAAGTTTAACGCTACATCCTGAAAACTTCTCTGATAGATATCTTATTTAAAATTTTCAGGGATTCGACCACCTGCCGACCCAAAAGGTCCCCCCTTTGGTACTTTTTAAGAAATCCATTTTTGGCCGACCGACTCTAAAGTTTTCGTAAAGGCGCCTTTGGCGCCAATATATTCTAATTTTGAGGGGGGAGCGCTTTTTTGGTCGAAATTTTCCAAAAAATGTCTGAAAACGGCCAAAACAGGGTCTAAACCGTGCTTAGGGAGAGCTCTCAAAAAATCAATTCGGTCGACCTAAAAAACGGTCGACAAAATTTTCGAAATTTTTGTCCCCCCCTCGAGAAAATCCTAGATCCGCCCTGGATAAAATTATTGAACTTTTTAAATATTGATTTTTTCTGTTTTTTATCTCGACTCCCCACAGGCTAATCGTATTGTATTATTGTATTGTATTGTATAATTGTATTCAGATGGCCAAAGTTCCGTCAAAATGACCATTTAGGAAATCGGTATTTGTCTGAAAATATGCAAAAAAAAATATATAATTGTAGATGCCTAACTTACTTTTGTTCAACGCTTATGTCTAGTTCGTACGTCATCATACCACGCGCAAAAAAAAACACATTTTGAACAAAGCAGTCAATACGTTTTTATCAATCTGGTTGGTGGTTTTCTTGTTGCAGTCACGGGACATAGAAGTTCAATAAAATTTTGTTAATATATATTTTTTGGGATGCCCTATGTCCATTAAGTTGAAAACCGTTTGAAATTTTGGGCTTTTAAGGTTTTGAGCTACGTCCTCATCCAGATTTACTTTTACATTGAAACGAATTTGAATTTGGTTAGGCTCTTAGACAAAATCTGATAAAATTTCAGCAAACTTTTTTATAAATTGAAAAATCTGATTTAATTTTTATTCCGTAGCTGAGTTTTTGTGTAATAAATTTCAAGCAACGGAAAGTCTAAATGAGGGCCTAGATCCTTAGTTTTCCAATAAAAATTTTCAAATCCAAAGTTTGAAATTGATTAAACTGCTCAAAAATTTTTTTTTGTGACACTCAGAACACCTCTCAAAAAGTTTTCTTAAGTATTGCAATCGACGTTTGCAACGCTTTTTTACAGGTTTTTACTCGGGTATGATCTAACAAACAGTTTCATCTATATGAAGTCCAAAGTTCAACTGTGAATTTTGAGTAGATATTGAGAAAGCGGCACAAATGTTTAAAACAGTTTGGTGATTTTATCATTTGAAAAAAAAGTTCAATTTTCATGTATCATGACTGTACTTGCATAGCAGGCGACCAATTTTTTTATGTTTTGAATTTGAGTCATTATGTTAAATTTAGTTTGGCTGGTTTTTTTTACCCATATTGTAGAAAAGACCCAAATGTGCAAAAAAGCGTTATTTAAGTTTTTATTTCTTCATTGACTCAAAACTTTGGTTAATCTCATAGTTTATTACTGCGAGGTGAAATTACAAGCATAAATTTTACAACTGTTATTTCGTATTTGCTTTTGCGGCAAATTTTCTAGCGGAAAAATTCGAGAACACTGCAGCACATCGAAACAATTTTTTTTGTCTCAGTCGTACTTCGATTTCCCTGAAACGTACTTCGATTTCGATATATAGTCAGGGGACATAAAAATTGCAATGATGTTTGCTCTATAAAAAACCAATTATGGCAAATATGCTTCTTTCAACCAAATTGGAACGATTTCTAAGACGGATTGATTCTCCGCTTATGCGTTAAAAGCGCGAAATATATCGCGCGTTAATTGTCCCAAATTGGCCAAAATGGCAATCTTTAAACCCCCATAACTTTACGAAAAATGATCACAAGTAAAATATGTTTTCAAATTTAAGCTCACGACAACAATACGTTTTGATTGATTAAAAACTCCGTTAAAATGGCCAGTTAAAAAGTCGAAATTTGTCTGAAGAAAAAAACCCACCCCGAGCACAAATATTCCGTTACTTTCGTTACAAAAGTCGGAACAATAACTTTTTTTTCACGTTTTTGTCTTTTTCCCTACATAAAAGAAAAACCTTGTTTTGATGGCTTAAATTACCAAGTAATTCATAACTAGCGTCGGATGTATTCTTGCTGTGAAACATCCTCCCAAACATTAAAATGCTCAATTTGTTTTATGTGAAGCTAATGAGCTAGATTTACAATTTACCCAACGGGAAAATGGCAGACAGAAGAATTGAAGTTACTTGGTTGGTCGTCAAAAACAGTGTTTCGTCGTCAAAAACAGCATTTCGTCGTCAAAAACAGTTAAATTTTTAGGTATAGTTTTGCGCGGATGATCAAAAAAAGAGATCAGAAGAACGGTTTCAGTCAATCTTTAGGAAATTTACTGCTCCGATCCAGGTACATAATGAGTAGTTATATCTCTCTGAATTCGCCCAATTTTCTGGTATAAAAGCCCATTGTATTATGATATCTGTTTTGTGTTTAGGGTGATGTTTCCACAGCAAGAACACCTCTGAAATTAGTTACTCACTGTTTTACGCCTTAATTTTACGCCACATTTCTGAATTTTTATTGCGGCTAGCTCACTCCAATTAGTTTTATCTATCATGTGCCAAAATTTCATTCTCAACCAAATGAAGGGAAAACGACAAATACGCGGAGAAAAAAATTGTTTATTGTACGAAAAAAAAGCTCTCAATTAGCCAAATGGCATGCTTAATTGCACCACAGGATAAAATAAATTTATAAAAGGGTCTATATCTTTCCTCTTTCATACTTTGAAAGATAGGATAAATTAGAGCTCAGTTAATCATCTGACTAATTTTCTAACACAATAAAAAAGAATATCGTGAAGCCTTTTTGAGTCAAGATTCGCGATTATTTTAATTTCATTCTTTCATTCGATTTTAGCGTAATTAATTACCAGAATTCCAGCGGCCATTTGGGGTCTGTCGTTGTTCAAAATGAGCGGTAGGGGTTGCGTGTAATTGACAGAATGAGCTAATTTGGAACGAAGAGAGGAGGGCACGTCAATTTGTTCGACTGTTGTAAAATTGATCAGCACCTCAAATTGGCGCCATACTTCACTTTTCAGCATTGTTCACGTGCGGCGTTCCTCTTTTTGTCCTCGGGTGGTTTCGTGCGTCGCAGAAGATGAAGTTCTTTTTTGCTTCTTCTAACTTTGATCAAGCCTGTTTTGCCAATTCAAGTTTCGGTATGTCGGGAATTTAATCTAGTGAGCAAATCCATTTTGGTGATAGCTGAAACAACACGAAGTGACAAAAAAGGAAACATTGATCTAATCGAAAATGTTTTTGAAAACTTTAAAAAAACGCGAAGATCTTCCACCATATCAACTAAACCGGGTTGAACCGGCTCACCACAGCGAAGAAAAACCTAATTTAACACTGGCTGAAAATTGCGATGAAGAAACATAACATTACTTTTTTCAAAAATAAAAGGGAGATCTTGCTTTTGTCAAGTTTTTCGTATTAAATCAAGAGTTCTCATTAATAACTTATTATTTAACTCGAAATCTTTTGAAAAAGCATTTTGTGTTTTTTATGTTAGTCCTTCACCCCATCAAGCATTGCATCAAAAACTTGCTTGGTGACAAGGGTTACCAAAACAACATAAAAAAGCTATTGATACATTTTAGACAGTTCGAGTTCAATTTGAAATACACTTAAGCTGTCAATCTCATTGTTGAACGTTATTTCGTTGTTCATTCTCCAATTCTTTTGCCTCTTTCCCGTTGATTGAAAAAGTCTTAGGACAATTGAGTAAAAAATTTTCGGAAGCTATAACAATCTCATTAACCAAACCATTGTCTATACATTCTCCATTTTTAGTTCGGCTTTTTGAACGCACTCTCCTACCCGTACCTTGTAAATACTCTATTTCAGATTTGAAAAAAAGTTCACATAACGTTTGAATATTTTATGAATGGGTTAATTTGAGTGTTAACAAATCAGCCGAAGTATCAACCAACCAAAAACACGCAGAGTGTATAAACCAGCCAAAAATTTACATCATATGAAAGCAATTTGCATGACTTTCAAAACGATTACTTAAATATTATATACCACTAACGTAATTTTCGCTAGTTGATACCTGGGCTAGTTCATACACCGTTAACTTCGACCTAATTTCCAATCTGAGTTAATTGTTCCGACCACTGAAAATGGGTAGGAGCTTTGTATTCGGGTGTGTTTTATTTCTTCTTCTTTTTTTGTTCATTTTTTTGTTTTTTACGCAAAACAAGTACCACAAATAATCATGGGACAGCAAAAAAAAGTTCCACGCAAAAAAATTCTGCTAAAAAACTTGAAAACAATTGTCACTTTTTTGTTTTTTCTTAGCAATTTTTTTGACGAGCATTCTGTGCTAATTAAACAGTAACCGGCTATGATTGTTTTTGTTTTGGTTGTTGCTCGTATTTTGAAGTGACAAAAATCTATTTCAGATCTAAACTTTCGATCTAAAGTTCCGCTTTTGTTGGTTATTTCAGATTTCAAAAAAAAAAGATTTCTTCTGACGTAAATTGGCTTTATTAGGTACTTTAATACTTTTAAGTTTCTGCTAGACGCTAGCAGATTCTTAGCAAAACCATTCAATGTAAATTACAGAAAAATTATTCCCCAGAAATTGGGTACATAATATTAAAGGCACGAAAGCATTAAAAAAACTTAAGCTTACATAGATAGATTAACCATTACAAAACCTAGTTGTGTACAGTTTGCAAAAAATGGATTTGCTGGTTTTGGATCTGAAAAGTTCATGTCACCAAACCCACATTCCTTCAATCTTTTTATTGGCTGCCAGGTGGACAAGAATTTTGAAACCTGGTGGAATAGAAGCATGAACTCATTTTTTAAAAATCATCAATGTCTAAAAAAATGACTAAAAATTTGAAACGAATACGAATAATTACAAAGTTCATAAAAAGTAAAAACGAAGCACTCGATGAACCGAAAAAATAAATATCACAATCAAAACTGGAGTAATGCTTCTTCATAGTTTTTGTCGAGATGGAGTTAACTGTTCAGTTGGAAACACTCATATGCAACTTATCGTGTTCTGGGCAAAAACACCGACAATTGTTGCAAAAACACCGACAGGAAAGCAGCTTCTCAAAAAAAACAAATAGGCTATCTAATCTTCTGAGAACAAAAAAGATTGCTACAAACTACGAGTTCGCTGAAGGTCAGAAATTGTTGAATTGCTTGTCAAACTCACACAATCTCATTGATTGAAACCTAACGAAATGGTTTTTTTTTTCAGGCCAAAATAGGTAGCTCTACTTTTCAAGGTCAGACTGAAGGTAACGGTCCTCAAATTTGCTACAAAATTTGGTCCAGTAAATTTAAGCGTGCCGAGACGAGTTTTGAGTACTGATTCGCTTCTTTTTGCTACCTTTTCAGTAGTTTACTACCTCTTGTTTTGTCCTGAAACAATATTATAAAATGCATTTTGCGTTGAGTTTTAGCCAGTTCTCTTGACAGTAATGCTTCATGTAGTTTAAGTTGCATATAATTTTCGAAAAAATTGCTCTATTTGTGTCAAACGTGTTTTTTTCTTAAAAAAACTGTCAGAGACGCACAGATTATCAAAGACTCTATTATTAAGAAACTCGAGAGCAGAAAAGCAAAAAAATTTTCAGCATGATCCGCGATCAACCTTAAAAAGAATTCATATTAGGATATTTATGTCGAATTAGCTTTTAACTCATTTTAACTTTTCAACTTTATTTTTTTGGTAATTAAAAGTATATTATGTATGATACTAAAGAATGAAAAGTTAAGCAAATGAAAATCATGGAAACTTCCCAGGTTGACCAAAAATGCTTGTCATACAATTCTCATAAATGGGAAATTTCTGTTCATACAATTTTATACAATTCCATGTGTACAGAAAATTGTATGAAAACTCTATTATAAGCATTTTTCCATAAAAGGAAACTGTATGATAGGTGTTTTCTCCATAAACAAACAACTTGTTTTTTGTTCGTAAAATTTATTTTCTGAAAAATTTTGGGTTGTGCTTGCAACCGAACACAAGTGACAAGGACCTTGGTTACTCAAAGCACCAAAAGTTGGACGGTCTTACATTTACTATGCATAAAAAACGACCGGATTTGTCTTCCTGTTGTCTTTCACAAATGATATAACAGAAGTAACAAAATTTAATTTTTGGCAAAATTTTTCAGTGATGATTATTTTTAGTTTTTTGGATTTTCAAATTATCAGACATTGATCAAGGCATACATAAACACATCATACAAAAGAAATTGCAATTTTCAGCCTTTTTTTAAAAAAAATTTGTAAGTGAAAAGAAAAAAAGCCAATATTATCGTATCCAGGACTACGTTATGCTCACAAAAAATTGAATTTTGCATGCAAAGAAAAATTTTCGGAAAATGTTTGTTTGCGTACAAAATTCAATTTGCAGTTGAAAAAAAAACCGAAAAAAATGGGGCAAAAATTCAAAATTACTTCAATGTGTCGCCATCAAAAATTTTGTGACGCCATCAAAATTTTGTGTCGCCATCAAAAAATTCCAGTCATATTATTTCCATATATGGAAATTGTACGGAAAAAATTTTTTCCAAAAAAAATTAAATCAGTGTTTTGTCACCAGTCTCAAAAAGCCGCAGAAATGGTTTAATTTTTTTTCTATTGTTTTTCGAAAATGTATGAAAATTGCATGACAAGCATTTTCTCCATACACTTGATGTATGGGTTTGTATGATAATGGTTTCTGTTGTATGGAATTATATGATAAGCTTTTTCGGTGTATGGAGGGCAACCCGGGTTGTTGACTTTGAGTTAGCTAACAATTTAAATTTGACCGCTCTTAATATTTTGATTTTTTGACGTTTAAATTTTTAGATAAATTTTAAAATTAAAATAAAATTATAGTTGTAAGTCTCTAAAAAAAGAACAATTAGGTGCTAATGAAAGCATTAGATGTGTTAAAGTCAGTAAAACTGCTTGGTATTCAAAGCTCTCAAATGATACCTGTGGTAGTTCTCAGATGATGCCAGTTAAAATTCTAGATCAAAACAAGGATCCAAAATTGTACATCACATCATTGCTTAAGCTATTTAATTTTCTCAGTAACTACTCAGATTGCGCTTCTGCCCTCTTGATGTGTGGGATGGGGGTTGAGAAATTAGACGATAAGCAATTTAGACGGAGGCACTTAAGAGGAACTTAGAGGTTTTTGCAAAACTGCAATTGTGAGAAAACAGACGAAATTAAAAGATATTAAAATTTGCAGACAAATTGCTAGAGAAAAAAAAATGTTTCCGAAAACAGTTGACTTTCGGTGGCCAAAAAATTTTACATGTCAATTATGCATAATTTTTTCATATCAAAACTCTCCTGTAGTACTCGGATTTAACATTTTATGTTCATTGAAATTAATTGTTTTGATAGGTATTGTCTTTTTATGTTCTTTCTGTATTTGTGAAACTTGACTGTTAAGAAAAATTTTGTTGGCCTTTTACTTTTCATAGCAGTAACGTCTAAAATACCATATCTGCAAAATATACTCCGTCTAGTTTCGTTTTTGTAGCATCCGTCTAATTTGCTTATCGTCTAATTTCCTAGGCCCCACGTATGTTTGATTATCTAATAAATTGTTTGTTTTGAAGCCTTGTTTGTTTTGCTTTCAGTTTTGGACTCTATAGCTCAAAAGGGTAGTAAGCGTGGGAGGGGAAGCATTTAACGTCTTCGTCCAAACAAACCTGAATTTCTTCCTGACTACCACATCTCCACATAAGCTGAGCTCGAGACCATCAATTTTAGCTAGTACACAATTAGTTTTGATGACAGTTGCCACTTCTATTGCATCTCTGTTTTCAGAGCAAAAACCTACGATCTTGGTAGATCTCACCAAAATCATATTGAGGCTTCAAAAAAACAAGGCAATCTTGCCAATATCTTGCATGAGTCTTGGATATCTTGCTTGATCTTGCAGGTTAACTTGGCAAGATCTCGCATGATCTTGTCAAAATTTTCCAAAGTTGGAACCCTGGGAAGCACATTTTTGCTGAAATTGGTAAAAGTACGTTGTAAACATGAAAAAGTTTTTTTTTTCTAAAAACTACAGAAGACTCAAAAACTCAATGTCCCCTTTCTAAGGAAGACGGTTTGAGCCTTGGTGCTATTCTCGACGAGCGTAACTTGAATCAACTTGAAGATTATTTGGTTTGTCTGCGCAAAATTTACTAGAAAGCATAGTGGCTTGCATTTTT